AGGTGCACTGGCCACACACTAATTGAAAGAATTATTTTCTTAACATCAGTGTCATCTGCAAATGCTTTTGTGAAGAGCATAATTGTTTCGGCCAGCTGCTAGGAGCTGTTTTTATTAATTTTTTAGAAAATCAAACAATGCCGAAGTAAGGGGTGTTTATAATTATTTCCCCCATTCCACATTCTTTAGGGGGAATAAGTGAAAAATAACAACCTACAGGCTAAGACCTTTGAAGACCAAAGAATTGGTTTCTGTAAACAGAAACAACAAAAGTATGTCCTCTTCCTCTCTTCCTTTTATCAAACTCCACGATACGTTGTTTGGGGCGCAGTGTGTCTGAGGGCACCTGCTGGGAGCTGTGGAGCCAGAGTCTGTCCAAGCACGCTGCTGGTAAAGTTCATCCCAAATTTCCACTGTGTGTGCTTCCTTAAGCAGAATCTGCCTCACGTTCCATGATTTTTGTTCCGTGGGTGGCTGCCAGATCCGTCTCCAAGGAATTGACCTTAATAGCTGAAAAATATCCTTATAGAGTCAAATCTCTAATGCTTAAGAATTTCCAAATTTTCTCAAAGGCAGTCTGTAAATCATTCAAAACCTAATTGTCACTGCAGCATTGTACTTCTGCCTTCTAATTATTTGCTTCCCCCATTTAAAAAATGTTCACTTTCTGATAGTGGCAAGTCACCGAGAAAAGAAAATATTAGGGAAGGGGAGGGGAGGGGAGGGGAGGAAAAAGGACACCCTACAAGAAGGACTTTTGAGAAAAATTATTAATTTTGTCATTATTAATACAAGGGAAAGCAGAAGTGATTTTTAAAAGCATGAGAATTAAGGCTAAGTCATAGAGTCCACTTTAAAATGATGAAATAAGATGTAGGCTATGATAAAATTATTTTATAAGGCATAAATATTTATTATTTTTGGAAACACTCACTTTAGGGTCAAAATACTTAGAGTTTTTGAACAGCTTTTGCACACATATTGCTGAGATTACAGTATCATTACAACATACAGCTAAAAACGCTAAGATAGTCCGCAAGACGTAATGCAGTCATTCTGTAGCATGATCTCCTTACCTTTAGCTTTTTTCTTTCACATCAAAATCAGCATCAAATTAAATGCAAATGTCTAGAGAAATGAAACACTTGTGCTACAAATTTACACACACCAAATCAGAAAAAAAAAAAAGAAAGTTATAGTCCTCTAGCTGATTGTAAATCCCCAGACTTCTAAATATGTACGCTCAATGTACTAAAAAGCAACTTAACCTTACTTTGAGGGCTTTGACTTTTGCAATTCTCAACATATGTTTATTCTTTAAACTAAAAATTGCATTTCCACTGGGTTTAATGCTTATATGCCAGTCTCTGCAAGTACTTATGCTTGTTGAAAAGGAGTCTAGTATTTTTTTTAAAAAAATTACCTAGATGCTTTTAGATAACTAGAATGTCAGGAATCTCATTAAAGTGCAAAGCCAAATTATAATGAGAATAATAATCATTTTAAAAATAAAATACAAAAATACATTTATATATTCATAGTCACATAGGGGCAAACTCAGACACCAAAAGGTGAACAAAATCAATGTCTTTTGCCACATCCAGATACCTTTCTCAAAGGCAGTGTTTACAGCTAGAACATTGTAGGTTCTTTGCTCAATTTTAACATATCAGCAAAGTCACCTTCCCTACTTTACAGTATCAACTGAGCTTCACATCATCCTTTCCCAGATGTAGATATATTAGATAAAATGTGGGAATGGCACACATCTACTTTTTAACATTTCTTTGTAATTGCTTCACCTAATGTAGCTCTCAATCACTTCCGTCTTCACTGATCTTCCAAGACCAGAAACAGATGTGCAGTGTCATTGTATACTTGCCATCTAATGATTAAAAACAAGAGGATAGAATAGGGCAGGACAAGGTTGAAAGTCATGATGTAGGTATCGGATTTCCTTCTGTATGTAGAAGAACTCTGTAGAAAATTCACACGTGGAAGAATTGGAGAATGAAGGCTGCCTTTTGCTAACGTTGCTTATATTACAAAATAATGCAAAAACACTCTTAGTTCTCCCCGTTCCTTTGCTATGTAGTTTCTACTTTAACATTTGGTAAGGTCCATAGCCAAAGAGGCACTGTTTCATGAATGAAAGAGGATGATTTTATACCCTACCCACACACGCACACACGAACAGTAAATGAAATTTACGGGTTAACCCGAGCATCACAGAATGTTTTAATCAGGACTTTAGAGCTTCACTCTAAACTGTTCAATTACCTTGGCGAGAGGCAACCCCCCAGAAATGTCCTGCCGCAGCCAAAACCACAGGGAGGCTGGGACCTAATGGATCAGCAGCAGGTGATCCAGATGTGCACATCTGCTGCAACCCACCCCAACTCCCCAGGCAATGCCTGGGCTGCAGCCTCTCACTGGGGACAGTCGGCACAATGGAAAGGCAGAAGAACAAGGTGAAATGACATTCCGAGGGGGGTTTGAATTATGATTCTTTGAAAGCCCCAAGAGTTGCGAAGGGTCTTCAAAGGGGTTCTCAACTCCAGGATTTAGTGCTCTGGGCAGCCGCCCAGGTACCACAAAATTCCCATGTGTGCGCGTCTCCTTTGTTACCCGTATGTGCGCTCCCTCCCTGACGTCAAAGCCGTGTTTGCTCAGCTTGTGGAAAATGTGTTCTTTGCTGGCCACACTCTTCCCTTTACTGAGGTTTCTGCAGAGCTGATGGCTCTGAAGCGGCTCCTTTCACAGAAAGGACCGGGAGGACAGTTGTGTCTGTGTTGAGCCTTATGCCAGCCAGACAGACAGGACTTGTTTTCCTCAGAAACCTGGTTTATTTATTTTCTTTTTGTCTCCCATCCAGCCAGCATTGTAGTAAAAGGTCGATCTTTAGCTCTGGGAATGGCTGATTCATATAATTGGCAACTGCTCCCATTTCATTGATCTTCACTGGGCAGAGAATCGGCTTATGAATATCCTAAACTTACTGAGCCTAGTAACTAGCTACCTCTCCCTATATCCTGTGCATAACAAGTGTAGGATTAGAGGAAGATGGTCAGTTTACTGCTTCTGTGCAAACAGTAGTCATCATCAGTGGGTTTCTGACATCTAAAATATCTTTTTGAGAACAAAAGGGAGTGCCTTGCCACAGAGGCAGGGTGGGATGGGGGTTTGGGGGAGTGGGAGGGATACTGGGATCCGTGGTGGTGGGAAATGGGCACTGGTGGAGGGATGGGTGTTTGGGTATTTGATCATTGTACAACTGAAACCCAAGCACAAAAATGTGTAAGTCTACAACTGTACCTCATGATGTCTCACTAATAAAAAAAAATTAAAAAAATAAAATAGAATAATTTTTAAATAAAATAAAATTAAAATTAAAAAATAAAATAAAATAAAATATCTTTTGCCTTGCCAGATTTTTAATGGAAGCACAGTACAGGAAGTCATACAAAGCAATGATCTTGATTATTCAATGGTCTTACTTTAGTTGCTTTGGGAGTTATTCATGACTACTCTAAATTAGATGCCAAGACCTTCATTAACACTTTTATAGGTATGCGGATAAGGTTAGTACCTAGAAAGAAAGATCTGTTACCGGTAGTCTGACTTGTTGCATGTGCAAGCTTGAGAGCAAGGCCATGCTATTTGTAACATGTCTATCATCCCACAGACTTTCGACACTCATGATCTGATTATTTACTCATTCTCACTTCCAACTGGAAAAATAGACATAGCATATTTATACAATTTTCTCAGGTTTACTGAACTAAATGCTAATGAAGTCAGAACTTAATTCATGCCAGAATGTCTCTAAAAGAATTATCCTATGATCAGATTGCTGAGAAAAATGCCTCTGGCATCATATACTTCACAGAATGATTTTACAACATCATAGATAACCTCACCTGGTCTGGTGGTTTTCTGATCACGGATGTCAGGTCGAAAGCGAATTGAACTGAAAGATTCTGATGGCCATTCATAGCACTGTTGCACTGTCCTCCCATTGTTCATTAATTTGCTAGAGCGGGAACCAGTAACGTCTCCATTGTGAGACTTGTTGTTACTGTTTTTGGCATATCAAATATGCCTACTCCATGGGGAGCTTGCCAGGCTCTACCTTTCGGGTGGGATACTCTCGGTAGCTTGCTGGGTTCTCCGAGAGGGACAGAGAAATCGAACCTGGGTCGGCCATGTGCAAGGCAAATGCCCTACCTGTTGTGCTATCACTCCAGCCCATTCATTCATACTGTAACTATTTCAACTCCGTGTTCTGTCCACTTTGATCCCAAACCTCTAACTCTATTATTCCCCAACACTTATTTCCTATATCAACTGAACCTACTCACCTCAGGTACTTTGCAGGAACCTTGGTTATAAAGACAAATAAATGAAGAGGCTCCCAGAGAAGAACATATATTGTTATGACTTTAACCTTCATCTCCAAGACTGAGGCTACAAAATGCACTTTCAAAGTGTTCGGAATTGTGAATTTAAAGAAATAGTATGCACTATGCACTCACTCCTTTTTCCCTAGGCAAGCTGCTGCTAACTTATAGTTTATGGGATGATGAAAAATATGAATATATGTTTATTTTTTCAAGTTTTTATCTATTAGAACATTTAATTAGATTAAAGGAAACCATTCCTTTACTTAAAAAATGTCTTTTTTAAATTAAAGCACCATGATTTACAAAGTTATTCATAATTGAGTTTTCTACAGGCAATATTGCAGCACGGATACTACCACCAGAATAAACCTCCCTCCACCAGTGTTCCCGCCCATATCCCTGCTCTCCTCGCCCCAGGCTGCCCTCTCATTGAGAGACATCTTTATAAGGTAAAAAATATCATATAGGCTAATTAAAACATCAATTTCCTTTTATATTTTGAGTTTTTATTTTGAATTATAATGAACTATGTCTTTGATACATTCAAATGAGAAAAATGAATATTGATTTTAAATGTAGGATAAAAATAAGGAGAGATTCATTTCTTGGTCTTTTGACTAAAATCGAACGTACTATCTTCCCTTATCATTTTACTATCTGATATGTCTTCTATATGAAGGCAATCTACTGAAAGGCTTTGTGGGAATAGGAAATGGAATATTGGCTTGCTTCATCCATTCCATGCAGTGACTTGGTATTGCAATACCTTCAGGAATGATGTGCCCTGTTGGAGAATATAATGTTTGTTAAGAAATAGATTTATTGCACTATAAAACCTTAAAAGATGTTCCATAATAGCATTGAAAATATTGAGGAAGAAATTAATAAACTGACTCCATAGATGCAAAAAAATGGGGAACTATGTACTTAGTTCTAGGTGGCATTGTAGGGTTTAAACACCATACTGAAGAAACAAAAGATGAAAATGAGTAACCAAATATTGACCAAAATAGTTGTTAATATAGATAATAGGTTTTGGATCTTCTGATTTCAAGCTCATCATAGCTTCTAGAACATTCTATTTTAACAAATTTGTGTGTAACGTCTGTTTCCTAAAAAACAGTATTCGAAGTTCTAAGAATATGGTTAAATGTCTAACTCTGCAGTTAGTTGAGCAAGCATATATATAGGTTATGAATACAATAAGAAAAGCACCAAATTAAACTAAACTTACCCAAACTTATTGTATATTGTAAAAAATGTTTTCATTAGGACCGTCTATAAAACTTTGTGAAACATACACTTGATTGACCACAGAATTTAGAAACGCTAGATAGAGACAGTCCCCGGGGATGCCTGTAGATGAACAGTTAAAAATAGCAAAATATGTAACATAGGAATAATTTAAAACTTTAAATATAGTTATTTAGTGTTCCATTTTACCCTGTCCACTGTTTCCCATATTGAATTAAAGGATCTTATCAAGAGTCTGCTACTTAGAATTTTCACCATACTTTTGGAAGAATAAATGATGCCAAAGCTATGAAGAAAACTGGGAACATGGGCCAAAATAGCATTTCCAGTTAAATGAAACAAAAAATGGAGGGTGAAAACTTTATTCAGTTCAGCTGTTAAGTCTTAATGCAAAGAAATAGCTTTCTGCAAATCTGTAATGGACACCAATTTAATCTCCTTCGTTATTAGCTTTTAAAACTCTTATCATGGTATATTTTGGCAGTCAACCAAACTCAGGATGTTCAGCTTAGTAGTTTTAACCTAAATTTTTATAGGTTCACCTTCTCTGTCATTCAAAACCCATAATTAAACCTCTCGGTGAACTGCTGATAACATTTCTTGAAGTTAAATTTGCCTTTGGATACAAAGGAAACATTCCTGGAGAATGACATAACACTGCCACTGGGCCAAAAGGAAAACATGTTGAGAAATATTTCTTTAAATGACAAAATATATTGTTTTAGGATTACATGGAACAATGAGCCAGATCACTAACCAGACATTAGGCTGCTGGGACTAAATAACATACTTCTGTAAATCAGACCACGTGAGAAGTCAAGAGCAAGCATCTGTAAGAACAGTGTCTCAACACTATCATACGTAAACGCTATCATTACAGATAGCAGAGTGAGAAATAGAATGTTAATTAAAAGGTTGCATACTTATGTGTACTACCATAATTTCCTTCAGAAAAAAAAAGAAACAGTTTCATTTTCATTACTAGATTGGAATATTGCTCAAATAAAAATACATTTACTTAGCAAATATCTGTCGATCATCTACACAGTCCCTGGAACTATGTAAGGATTTATGGAAAAGGTGATCTAACTGATGTTTTATAATTTAGGGGGTTAGAAAAACATAAATTAGCAATTGAATGCTAAATTGTCCTGTGACAAGAGCTATGGCTAGATAGCATGGTACACTTTTGTACTATGAAAGAGCTGTGTACACTTTTGTACTATATAACTTGGATAAATTGCTTACTTTATCTCCTAATTTTATTATTTATTTACTAATTTTTGATTTCCAAAGAAGTAGTGGGAACCCTTTAGTGATTCTTGGCCAACTGTCTAGGGATTGGATGAGAGGCCAAGAGGATGATGTGTTAAGTCCTGCAGAACCAGAGATCCCACAGGCCACTTCAACAGGGGTCACCAAAGCCATGCACAGCAATACTCTGGGGACCACGGAGTGTTGGATATCTAACTGGGTCTGCGATTGAAATGCAAGTGCTTTACCAGCTCTGTCTCTGCAGCCTCCCTATCCTTATATTTTAAAAAGAATTTTTGATGGTCCGTGCCTTAAAGGGTTGTAATGAAGACTGTCACTGTGTCACTGTCATCCCATTCTTCAATTTACTCAAGCGGGCACCAGTAATGTCTCCATTCGTCCCAGCCCTGAGATTTTAGCAGACTCTCCTTACTCGTCTTCCCCAACGTAATGGAAGCTCTTTCAGGCTCAGGGGAATGAGACCCGTTACTGTTTTTGGCATATTGAATACACCATGGCTAGCTTGCCAGGCTCTGCCATGCGGGCGGGATACTCTCAGTAGCTTGCCAGGCTTTTCGAGATATATATGATGTGTATATGTGTGTGTGTGTGTGTGTGTGTGTGTGTGTGTGTGTGTAGTTCTCTATCATAAATGGTGTGGTAATTATGGAAAATGGGTAAGAAGTGTTTCATGCTGCCACGTGGTCCAGGAATATGTTCGCTCATATGTGAGGTCCCTTGGGGTGGGGAGGGCTCTCACCCCCTCCCCAGGGCACCTCAAATGAAAACAGCCAGGTTATGGGGGCCTCATTTTATACTCCCATCTGGGAGGAACAGCCGTGAGTTCTGGAGGGTGACCCATGAAGAGATTATCTGGTGCCAGCAGGGTGTAACTTATGGGTGTGACCCCTGGGTCACCTGAGCCTGGGGGAAGTAGGCAGAGGATCTGTGCTCCAGGGACTGGTTGAGTCCAGAGTCCAAGGTCAGAAAGTTCCGCATTACCTGGGTTCCGTGGGATTTCACTCATCGTGAGGCTTGGCCCAAGTGTGTGGAAAGAGGCCTGGAGCGTGACAAGGTTGGGTAATGAAGGTTGGCTGCCGGGACTGGGTCCCGTCCCCCTCTGGGGTGCCCTAAGTGAAAACAGCCTGGCTCGGGGTCCACGAAGACTATACGAAACGATAAGTATATGTGCCCGTAACAATGTTTGTCATATAGTATTCACTCAATGCATGCAATTACTACAACCTACAACGCACTATTATTTTTATTGCTCTTAGTTTAGGAATTCAAGAAAACTTTCTTTAAGAAATAAATCTGTAAGGGATCAGGATCATTTAAATCTAACATATTGGGAATAAAGTGATAAGACTTTCAGATGGGAGCCCATTGAATACAAACGCTTCATAAAGCTTGGAAGTAGAGCAAGAAGAAGGTGTTCTAAGAAGGCAGTCACATCATGCTAAGAAGTGCAAGGAAGATGGAAAGATAGACAGTACTGAATGTCTCTGGGCATGAGACCTTAGTTAGAATGTCTCTGGGGATGAGATCTTAGTTCCCCTCAAAGATTAATTGTAGAACTGTAAAATCAGAAAAGTGGATTCTACTTTTATTACATTTTATTTTTTTAATTATTTTATTGTACTTGAGGTAGTTACAACAGTGTTAAATTTTATGGTATTGAAACACAAAATAACCACATCCCACCACGAACAAAGTGCCCGTGTCTACTGTCCCTATGTCTCTTTCAGTCTGGTCTTCTACTCCAAAGTCCTACCCGACAATGTTTGATAATTGATTTGTATTATCATGCCATTGTTCAACACTGTTTAGTCTCTCATTTTGTCTCCCTACATTACATTGATAAGAGATATTATCCATTATTTGTCTTTTTCTCTAGGACTTATTTTGCTGAAACGATACCTTCCAATACCATACACATTGAAGTAAACTGCATGAATTCATCTTTTCTTAGAGCTGTGTAGTATTCCATTGTGTATATCTAAAACACCTTCTTCAGTGATTCACCCATAGTTGGAAATTTGGGTAATTTTCATATCTTGGCTATTAAGGGGTGCAATAAACATAGATTTGCATATATCCTTTCAAATTAGTGGGTTTTTTTTAGGTCTTAGGAATTGACTCCAAGAAATGGAATCACTGGGTTGTATATGAGGTCCAGTCTTACTTTTTTGAGAAATCTTAGTATTGTTTTCCATAGAGGCTGAACCAGATGACATTCCAATCAACCATGAATAAGGGATACTTTTCTGACACATTTCTAAATACGTTGTTTTTTTTTCCAGTCTTTTTGATATTTTCAACATTCGCCCATGTGAGATATCTCACCATTTTTTCTCACCATTTATGAAATTTAACTTAAAGTGAATTAAAAACCTGAAGATTAGAACAGAAACCATAAAATTCATTTAGGAAAACATAAGCAGAACTCTCCAGGAAATTAACCTAAGAGTGTCTTCAGTGATTTGACACCAGAGTCAAAGATAACAAAAACAAAAACAAATTAATGAAACTACATCATATTAAAACATCTTAGCATAGCACAAGAAACTCAAGCTAAAATCCACAACCGCTTCCAAAACAAGTAGAGGAAATGAATGACATTTCCCCCAAAGAAATCACACAAATGGGAGCTAGAGCCATAGCACAGGGAGTAGGGTGTTTGCCTTGCACGCAGCCAACCCGGGTTCGATTCCCAGCATTCCATATCGTCCCCTGAGCACCACCAGGAGTAATTCCTGAGTGCATGAGCCAGGAGTAACACCTGTGCATCTCCGGGTGTGACCCTAAAACCACAAAAAAAAAAGCACACAATTGGATCATAGCATATGAAAAAGTGCTCAGCAACACTTATTATTAGAGAAATGTTAATCAAAACAGTGAGATGTCATCTTATACCAGCAAGAATGGCATGCATTAAAAAAAAAACTAGCATTTCTTTTGGATATAGGAAAACAAATCTTACAATGCTGTATAAGGCAAATATAGCAAGATATTATGCCTGTAGCTTCAGATGAACCATTTAACCATTTATTAATTACATTTCCATCTTTAAACGTTCAACATTTATTGAATACGTACTGTGGGTTATGTAAGACAGTGCAAGAGGTACAAAGGTGAGTGAAACAGCATGGCTGTCATGGTAAATTCGAACAAATAAGATAACTCTTAGATTTAATAAAAAATAGAGCAACCAATTTCTATCAAGGACAGTATTATGATTTAATACCACTACTGTCTTTGTGAAGAACTGGAGAGACCA